CCTCTAGTCCGGCCGCCAGGCCTCTCGCCCCGGGGAGGGGCGGGGCCCAGGCGTACCCCGGGGGCGTGTGTGGGACCGGCTCCGGGGGCAGAGGGGCGCCGCCGCACCAGCCTCGGCGCGTAGGGGGGTGCGTGCGCCCGCTCGGCCGGCCGCCATTGCAGGGGCGGCACGCGCTGCCCCGGCTCTCCAGCACCGCGCTGGGGAGGGAGGGGGGGGGAGAGCCAGGCAAGACTGAACAGGCTCCCCCCCGTCTATCATTCCCCCAGTGGAACAGCCTCTACGTTGGTTTTGGTTACCTTTGCTCAATCATTCCCAGCACAAGAAATCAGCCAAGATGGTACACACCTTTTGCCACCTCTCTCCCCCTCCCCCTCTCCTCTCTCTTCCCTCCCCCCCCACCTTTGCGTCCTCCGTGCTTTCATGCGCCACCCCTCGTCCCATTCCCTTCCTCGCTGTTCCGCTCTTGGTCGACGCGGCTCGTCCCCTCCCCCCCCCTGCCCCGGAGGGGGGCGGCTCTGGTCCTCTCGCTGCGCGTGTTCCCCTTCTCCGTCCACGGGGGGTTACACGCTGCCTCCTGCGCGAGAGAGGCACAGGAAGAGGAGGAGAGGCTCAAGGTGGGGGACGTCTCCGCATGTGGGTCGTCCCCCGGTCTCTGGAGTATGACGCGGCATTGCGCCGGGCCGCCCTTCGCCCTTCCCGGTCCCTCACGTTTGCGCGCTCGGGACAGCCAGGACGTGAGCAGCTCGCCCTCCGGGGAGTCGTCGATCTTGGCGAGGCTCTTTGCAGCTCACCATCCCCCAAGGAGGCGGCAGCCATCTCCATCTGTGTTATGGGGGGCATCTGTGTGCCCTCGCAGGCCGGGCGCCTCTTCGCCCCCTCTCCTCTCTCCTTCCCCGGCCGCGGAGGGGAATGCCCCTTGGGGGGGGGCGGGCATGTGCCGTGTGCATGCTCGACCACCTCCGCTCGGCAGTCCTCCTCCTCCTCCTGCTTCCTCGGATGTCACTTCCGGAAGCTGCATCCGACATGTCGCCTTCTGTTTCCTGACTCCCTCGTTTCCGCTCCTCTCCCTTCCCCCCTCCCTTGCCCGTTAGGTTCGCGGCCCCAAGAAGCACCTCAAGCGTCTTAACGCCCCCAAGCACTGGATGCTTGACAAGCTTGGCGGTACCTTCGCCCCCAAGCCGTCCTCTGGTCCCCACAAGTCCCGCGACTCCCTGCCGCTGGTCATCTTCCTGCGCAACCGCCTCAAGTATGCCCTGACCCGCCAGGAGGTCACCTCTATTGTCATGCAGCGCCTTGTCAAGATCGACAACAAGATCCGCACCGACATCAACTTCCCCACTGGCTTCATGGACGTCATCTCCCTGGAGAAGACCGGTGAGCACTTCCGCCTGCTCCTCGACACCAAGGGCCGCTTCGCCATCCACGCCATCAGCGCTGAGGAGGCTGCCGTACGTACCCCTCTCGCCGTGTGACCCCGGAGGCGCGCGCGTGTGTGTGTGTGTGTGTGCGCGCGCGCACGCGCTCGCGCGGCCGCACCTACGGCCGTCATGCTTCTCTCCTTCTCCGCACGATCCTTTTGCCCTTTTCGCTGACACGCTCGTATTTCCCCGCACTACTTATCTGCCGCTTCTCTCTCTCCCCCCGCCCCCCACAGTTCAAGGTCTGCAAGGTCAAGGCTGTTGCCATCGGCACCAAGGGCATCCCCTACCTGACCACCTCCGACGGTCGCACCATCCGCTACCCCGACCCCGTCATCAAGGCCAACGACTCCGTCAAGGTCAACCTGACCACCGGCAAGATCGAGGAGGTCTACAAGTTCGACTCCGGCGCCCTCGCCTTCGTCACTGGCGGTCACAACAAGGGCCGTGTTGGTGTCATCGAGAGCCGCGAGCGCCACCCTGGCTCCTTCGACATGGTTCACATCCGCGATGCCCTCGGCCGCCTGTTCGCCACTCGCCTGTCCAACATTTACGTCATCGGCAAGGACGCCCAGTCCCCGGCCGTCTCCCTCCCCCGCGGCAAGGGTGTCAAGCTCACCATCATTGAGGAGCGCGACCGCCGCCTGGAGAAGCTCCGCGCCGCCTCCGCCTAAGCGTCCGTGTCCCTCTCTCCTCGCCCGTTGTCCGTCGTGTGCGCCGCCCTGCCGCTGTCCTTCCTCCTCTCATTCCCTCCCCTCGTCGCCTCCCCGGGAAGAGGGGGGCATTAGAGGAGCTCGGCATCGTGCGTGGGTGAGCGTGTGTCGGCCCTGCGGCGAGCAGGGCGGGGGTTGGCCCACGCCTGTGCCACCGGTTCTCCCTCCGTGTGTGCCGCGTTGTGGGCCCTCCGCCGCTCTCCTTGCCCGGGTCGCTCTGTGCTGTTCCCCGTTCCCTCGGGGGCAGCAGCGCGCGCTCTCCCGGCGACAGGCAATGGGCGTGGATTTAAAACCGGGGTCGGGCTGTTCACTCTGTCCTCCAATATTACCTCCCACTCCCGTATTCTCTCATGTGTGTATATGTCGTATGTGTGCCGCGGCAGAGGCGGGGGGGGGGGGGGGGGGG